AAATTGACAAGAGACAAATTTTAGGAAAACGTTTAAATGTGATGACACTTTAAACGAAGCAATATAATAGCAATGTTAAAATGTTTGTGAGAGCATAAATAAACATCAAAATATACACTCATAGAAATAAAGGCAGTTTTTTGTTTTATTAATTTCAAGGCTCAGCAGCCCTGGAGGCCCTGGCTCTCTTCACTGTGGATATAATTTTCCAGACAACAATAAGGACATCGCACACACATCTGACAACAAAGCCAGGTGAAACCTTGAATGCTTTACATGTTGCTAAAGTTACCCTGCTCCCCGGCCAGAGCTCAGGAGGGAATAGTGACATTACCTGAACACCTGGATCTTCGTCCTCTTCGGGGGCAGGGGATGGTGGGGGTGTTTTGTCCAAGTCTGAATTTTCCGAACCTTCTGTTTTTCCTTTGTTGACCTTTTTCTTCAAAGTACTTGCTTCTGAGTCGGGTTTCTTATTACTAGAATTCAAAGTACATCATTTAGTGTTCCCCTCTGGCACAGTTTCCCAAGTGACCCAAACCTGCTCTTCCAGGATCACTAGTGGCAAAGGCTAGGTCGATGTATGTTGGACACCTTTCATTAGGTGGTGCTCCTAATTAATGTTTGACAACAAAACCTACCATTGATGGCCTTCGGCAAATTTCTCACCCATTAAAATTGAATTGAATGTAAAACTTTAGATATTGCAGAGTATCACTCATAGGCCCTGCTATTATACCAAGCCATGATGAAAACTAAGATATTGCTTTGCTAAAAAGTAAGGCATAGACACCTTTTTTAACTAAAGAAAAAAATACAATCTAATGACTACATCCTTATTTCTCTGGCGTAAAGTTTTACACACTCCTTTTAAAGTCCTATGGCAACCAGTAAGTGTTTAATAAAAATTCCTTTCTGAGAACTGCACAATTTTATTTAATTCAGTGTTCTTTATGAGCAAGTTTTTGTTGTTGTTGTTTTGGTGTTAAGCATTTTGGAGGAAAAATCACAATTAGCCTCTATTTTCCCCTAGTGCCAGCAACAGAACCCAGGGCAAGTGTGCTACCACTGTGGCCATGTCCAGGCTCACAATTAGCATCTCTACCAAAAGCCAGGGCTTTGAAATTATATGTGTGTGTTTGTGTCTAACTAATAACTAAAGCTCACTTTCCAAATGTCACCAAAACATCAGTAGTATTTGAATGTTATATCAAAACACATGAGTACACTGTGAGAAAAATAAAATTCCAGGGTTATCGCCACCCCCAAGACCATTCTTCAGCGTTCCATCAAAGGAAACACTTGGTGCTTCCTTTAACCTACACTCTGGACCCAGGACTTCCTAACCTATGCTATCATTTGTTACATATACAACACAGAAAATAATCCAAACATCAGCAAAGATTTTGGTTTTTTACTATTTCTATGGAGTCTCAAGCTTTAAGTAGCTCAACAAGCGGAAGATATATTTCAAACCCTACATTTATTAAATTTTATAAAGTCCCAGAAAAGTACACTGAGAGACCGCACTAAACAGCATGTTGTCAGACACCAGGAAGAGGCTGCAGTAGCCAAAGGAGTCAAGTAAAGATGTGTCAAACTAAGCGCTCCCAAAGTACACCAACAGTGTACCAGCACACACCTACGACATGTTTTCCCACTAATAATGATTTGAGCATCTTAAATTTCTTATTTTTATGTACGCGGAGTTTATTTTGATATGTGAGCATTTTAGCTTAGTGAATAGCTACATCAGGAAACAACTCAAAACAATTCAAGATCATCTCAAATAGCAGTTATATTTCGAACACCAATTTTATTTACTAGAAGGTGGTGTGACTAAGTCAAGGATTCACAGACAGCATCATATTTTTTAAATTAAAAAATTCATGCAGCATTTCCTGACTAGAGTGTCCTGGTGTTTACGCTACACACGGACAGAAGTCTCCCCTACCATGAGGCTCCATTTCCAGCATTTATTTCCGCTCTAACTGCCACAAATTATACAATACTACAGCTGAACACTGGGCCCCTTTCCTTTCATCTGCACGCCAAGAGCAATCAGATTACCCTGGTAACCAGCGGTCACATGACCAGCACCTGCTCTTTTGGCTGGATGCCACTGACTAAAGCCATCTGCTTCCCTCAATCAGCTTTCAAACATTCTCAACACCTGCGCTGCAGTGTTTTGTGGTTTCTTTTATCAAATCAGTGCAAAACTGCTTCCAAAACTTTACATATTTCTCGAATTTGTTTAAATCAGAGGTAGGGCTGTCAAAGAGTTGAACCAATGCCAGGTAACCTGAGCTGGCAGGGAGTACTTTCCACGGTGACCTCGCTCAGCCAGAGCAAAGGATAGAGTTCAAGTTCGTGGGGTTTCGGGCCCTGCAAGCACCATCCTGCAGGAGTGAAAGGCTGACTGTCTGGACGCTGCCCAGAGCCAGGTTTGAGGAAACATCTATTTGCTGGGGGACAGAAGCACTAATGACTTTCCATCTGCTCTATCCGAGGATGAGCTGCACAGAACCTCCAAGATGGCTGAAAGTCAGACAGGACCTCCCCAAATGCTTAGACAAAAACCTCATGGCCGAGGGAAGCACTTTTCCAATCTGATTACTGCAAGGGGCAAACTCATTAGACCTCATGACATTCATGTTGAGGGACAGCTAGGTTCTCCCACCCACCAGTATACAAACCAAGCACCAGAAGACGTCAGAAAAGGCTAAGAAATCTTCAGTGGCCACCCAAAGACAAAATTCAGTTATTTACATTAAATTGTCCTTGTTATGATTCTGGAGTGAGCCAATCTGGATCCCTATGACGTGTGGCATTCAACAGCTTTAAGCTAAGGAAAACTGAAGCCACTTCTTTTCTTCTGCCAGAAGTACTACAGAATGGTGGTTTCCCTGAGACAGAAATTAGCCTGAGTTTCTGTCACAGTTCCAACTGGGACGCTGGAAAAAATCACTTATGGTTTCCCTGCACCTCCATTTCCTCATCCATAGCATAGGGTTAATACCTACATCCCTAAGGCTTCTAGGGGTTTGAGATGAGAGAAGCAAGACAAGGCAGCACTGGATAGAGATGGTCACTCTCTGCACACCCCGGAAGACGGGGACATCTGAGAGGTGTACTCTAGCTGGGACTCTGACTCCCCAGTGCCACCTCACCTGAGGCACTCAGATAGGACGCCTGAGCACCAAGGCTCACTTCAACATGCATGGCCAATGCTAGTCATTAGCTAAAAGAACCAACAGCATTCGACCCATGCCCACTACCACTACTTTAACCAAACACATGTCATCACAAACTAGCCCACATGACCCTCTCACCCCCTGGGAAGTGTCCCCAGCATGAGGCCAGTAGGAACAGGACAGAGTACACATTCAGAACCAATCTGCATGCATCTGCGA